GATTAAAATCGAAGGAATACAAATTTCCATATGGATAAATAATAAAACTCCATTTACATTTACAATTTAATGTAAATAAATGTAACTATATTTTAATAGTAATTCTATAAAAATTAAGAATTAGTAATGGAGGATTCTTCACATTTTTTTTAATAGCGATAGTAATGACGAGTAACATAGTTTAATAATTTCTTCTAGTATTATAATTTATTAAAAAGATTACTAAGTTTCTTTTGAATAGGATACAGTTATATAACAACTTACTAATGAGCTTCTGTTAGACAAAGTATTAGAACCTGCGACGACTTGTAAATTAAATTACATAGATACCAACAAATAAACAAATTTGAAATTCCTTTTTATCAATCCTGTTTGAACATTTTTAAAAATCAAAAAATTTTCAAAGCTCCCTCTTCAAGCCAGATATATCTTAATCGTTTGTTCCACATATCAGCCAAACTCCCCGATTTTCTGACATTTTAAAGATCATTCCACTTTGGTTAACAATACAGAACATTGCGATATTGAATCGCGCGTAACCAATAAAATAATTAGAAAGCTCGTTGACATATTTAATTGTCGCGTTGTAACAAAGTGGCGGGTCACCAGGTTTCCAGCAATCTGGTAGATTCCGTTTAGTACATAGGTCGAGTAGCTGCGCGCAAGTGCAGAGAGCTTTGGCAAGACAAAAGAGACGGAAAATGGAGGATTGTAGAGTTGTGTTGGCAGCATACTGAACAAAACCAGCTGCTTTCAAGACAGCATCCCTCATCGAGCTAAAGAAATTTTTTTAAATTATCTGCCATCGGTGAAAATGAGGGTACAGATTTTTATACGCTTTACAGAAACGAGCTGTGGTCGAAACGGTAAAAAGTTTGTCGTTGCCTAAAATTTCTATAACAATTAACGCTAGAACTACCGGACATTAGGCGCGACTTTTATCATAAGAAATACTGGAATATAAATATTTGTTGAAAAAATATTCATAGTAGCACTTTTACAATCTTAACACATGGTGCGCGGGTCTGACATTTCTGACAATTTGGCTGGATTGGCAATTAAAACGAGGGTGCACGTTTTTGTGCGTTTGTCGAATAAAATTCCCCTTTTGGTAATGGGATGGAACGAGCACTGCGAGCGATATAATTAAGTAAGAATTATTCAAAGGAGGATGGGGGCCCGGTGGGTGTTACACGATGTGTCGTGAAAGGCGCTCGCACTTGCACGCAATTAATTCTGAAACGCGTATCATCCCGAAAGAGGTGAATTTAGTGCAACGCCACTTCCGTGTGTATTCCGCGTAATTCACGGGGACTGTCTTCGTTGTCATGCTTTTAAGGTTTGTAACGTAAAGCTATTTTACCTGTCTCCAAGACAATTCCGGCTGACATCTTATTCTACTCCGTCTTAGGGTAAAATAGTAATATCTGTACGCAGTCGGTAAGTTTCTTTCCGCGTCTCCTCCACGGCGACGCCTGCATTTTATATAAACTATCCGCCGAATAAAACTATCCGCTTCCAGCAAAGTGACAGGTTATTGGATTCAATCCCGCGGAAGGCAATCTTTTTCGCTTGTCCACAAAAAGGCGAATACCTTCTTTACGTTTTGTTTGTATTATTTGGACGAACGAGTCCAATTTCTCAAGTACCAAATCTATCGTCTTCGAACGCGACAAAGTGCCTTGTGGAACTCGGTTCGTTTTAGTTTAGAAAATGAGTACAATCTATTAATTAGGGAATTTATTTTTGCAATCGATAAATGTAAATTATTGTTACATGCTGGTTTACTAATGTGAATTTTTGTTAGTTATGCTATTATTCGACGTAATTAAAATAAGTTCGATTCTTAGAATTACTGAAAATTGTTGAGTTGTTCATACTTCATGGCAATATTTTAATTTTGTCATACGACGTAGATTATTAATTAGTTAACAGTTCTTAACATTAATTAATAAACAGCGAAGACAAATCGTTATTATTATTATTATTGTAAACGAATACAATTCAACAAGCTCGTTTAAGATTTGCATTTAAGAGGGAAAGTATCGAGCTTCCTTCAAGTACAGTTTATTAATAATCCTAATAATAGGCTTCCGATAGCTAAAGCGTTCAAATTGCTAATCAAGGGATGGATCTACGCGAGAAAATAGATCGTATGAATTCATACGAATAAGGACAGGAATCGCTCTAACTTGTCTGGTCATGTCTGGCTGTTTCTACTTGCCGTACCCCGTAACATTCATAATAATGAACAGAATTAAGAATGAAATTGTCTGTCCCGATTCCACCCTCGACTAAAGCTGTCTCACAGCAACCGTAGTAATTCTTTTCCAATATTACCGGCGATCAATTCATACTTTATCCATGAAAATTAAATTCCCAACAGTCCAATGGATAATATTATTTACCGATGTAAACTACTTGGGGCTTATTATCGAATTGTACTGCAAACATTTCCTTCAGCATAATATCATCAACGTCCAGCACTGACAATAAATATCTCTTCAACTCCTAGCGTAATAAAGAATAATTGCCGATCGAGACAATAATCTGAGCGTAATAAACACAGGTATTAGTAATTTCGTCGGGGGGTGAATGCACTACACTCTGCTTCCTATA